GAGCTTGTAACACTCCAAAGAGAAAGGAAAAATTGAAATCACATCATATGACCCCTTTAAACGTCTAATGAGCCTTTCATTACAAACAACGGTCACAAGGTGGCGTAAGGCTACTGAGCTTCACATCGCCAGTCTGATTTGAAGGAAATTGTTTTGAATCGTCATCTTAATCACAATCAGAACTGTCATCGAACTAACCAAGTCTGTTTTGGTAACATGATTTATTTTAAAAAAGAAAATACAACTAATTGCAAAGATGTGTGTTTGTAGCGCGATGCACGCATTCTCAGAGCTCATATTGTTATGAGGAAGAGTTAAGAGAGGGCGTGCGTCAGCTGGGCCAGCAGCCAGAAAGCACCATCAGCCTAGAGCACATGGACTGATTTAGGAGGAATGCAGGCTAATAGTGATGACAGAACGAGTGTGTTTTTGTGTGTGTGCGGGGACAGAGAGCACTAGCTCGTGCTCTGCGCAGCTGAGGCTGATAGGAGGTGACAGGCAGGGCTTGTCAGGCACTGCTCTGTCGGCATGCGGGGAGCTCCACTGATCTGAGCCCAGCACAGCCTCTCAAACATCAGCACTACTCTCTGTGTGCTAAGAATTACGGGTTTTAAAACTGCAATGTACACCTGGGCTTTTACAAATGATGAAGATTAATAGTAGTTTGGTGGTAGAGCTGTTCAAGACGTCAACAAATGAGAACACTAGGTCATTAATAGGCCTGCACTGTTGGAAATGCACAAAAAGCTCCATTAAAACAACATTTCAATGCCTGTCATTCATAACACAGTGTCCTAACCAGACATCATGAGACAAGTGACAACGAAGCAATTTGCCTCATCATACTGGATATAAACTGCACAACATCATTCACTGAGCAGACAATCCACAGATATTTGATCTTTAATGTGAGTGACGTATAACGTGTCCATTTTAGGTTCAAATTCATCATTTTATTGTTTATCAATTTATATTTTTTTAATTTGTCAAGTTTTTTCTATTTTCTTTTCACTATTTATATAAATCTTTTTATATAAGCCTTCATGAGTATATTTTAAATGGTCCAGCGTTATGGCAAATTAATTTCTAAAATCATAAATATTACATATATTCTCTGAATTGATAAGGTCATAAAAGCTGCAAAATGAGTATAAAATGTCCCATACCGCAGGACATCATGTCAGCTTCCTTTCAACAGTTAGGAGCGAGATTTTGGATTTTTTGAAAATTGCCACAGAAATAGAAACAAAATGATCAACAAAATATCCTTGCTGGCCAAAAAAAAAAAAGGTTATGGAAGAGTTTTTATTGCTAATTGCTTTATTGCATCACATCTGGTTAGGAGACTGTAACGTTATGTGATATTATTTAATGTCTTACCAATGTGATTGTAGTATTTCCAGAGCAGTTTAACACAATTTACCATACTTAAATCCATTCTGCAAAATTCTGCAGATTGTGTCCTGTAATCAATAGACAAAATAAGAAACAATGTGCAGATTTGGTGTAGGCCTAATCATGATAGAATTCTTTTAAAAAATGCTAAATATACCCTGACCCTGAAAGGTTTCTCATTTGGCCAGTAAACAGAACCATTCACAGCTGAAACAATTAGTGTGACTGCTAACGTAAGGTACTAAAAACATAATCAGGCTATACATAATCTTTTGCTGACAAATGTTTCGCTGTGCATCCATATTTTAAGAGTTCCATCCGACTGCTGCAGAAAACTGAGTCACTGTACAGCAGAACAGTCTCTGTGGACTGGCTATAATGCATTAATGATGACCAGATAAACAAAGCTAACTGTGTAGAAGTCCAGTTTTTAATAAATAATATTGCTAAATCTTTCTTGCGTCTGCGCTTGCTATCTTCTCATTCAGCACACGACTTGCATTAAGCTTCTGCGATGAACTATCAGTCACGTCTTAGGCCTTTATATGAACACATAGTAGTTACATATAATTAAAATTTTCCATTTGTGTGTGCTTGCTTTGTGCTTAGAGTACTTTGTCATTAGCAACATGTGCTAACACATACTGCACTTTGAATCAGCTGGGAGTCTATTTTCACATGCACTTCATGAGCACTATTTAGGTGTTATGCGTCAGTAGAAAGTTTGAAGCGTACAAGTAGAAATGTTCAAACCAATGCCTTACGAGGTTCATTTTGGTTAATGTAGGAAGTTGGCTTCTTATGTAGGAAGTAGATAGCAAGGCACAGAACAGAGCTATTATTTTTCAAGGGTTGCTTGCTACTGACCTGTTTTCTCAGCAGTGGACATGATATATTACATGCTACTCTATGTTGAACTTTATACAACAAAGCAGCTAGATAACATTACTTTGTTATAAGCTTAAATTCTCCAAACAGCACAACAGGTGAAAGTTGAAAATCTACCTGGCTGAAAAAAGCAGCCTAAACCAGCCAAAGCTTTTTTGCTGATCCTAGATGGTTTAAACTGGTCTAGCTGGTCTTCCAACTTGGACAAGCTAGTGTTCACTTGATTTGGCAAGTCTGCAAAACTAAAGCTAAAGCTACATTTTTTTAAATACAAAAAAGTTTGTTTCTAAAAAATAAAGTTGACCTTATTTTGTGGTGGGACCAATGTGAATAAATAAATAAACTGGAATGTTACACAAATACCAAACCAAACAACATATATAATAATATTTTTAATAATTAATTAATAGTTTTTCTGAGCCATATAAAGTTTTTTTTCCCCCTAAGAAATAATGTTAACCTTATTCTGTGGTGGGACCAGTAAAAATAATAAACTGAACTGTTATATAAATAGATAAAATTATCTAGCTGGTTAAATACAGATGGGCTGTAAAAATTCCCAAACAAAAAGCAAAAAACTAAAAAGTAATACAAATAACAATATTTTATTCATTAATAAATAGATTTTTTTCTATTTATTTCTAAGCTGGTTCCCAGCTTTCCCATAAACCATTTGAAACCAGCAAACCAACGTTAGGCTAGAAACATTTCTTCTCTCATTCCAGTGGCAGGAACTACTTCACAACCTACAAAACACTGAACCGAAATATTCATCCAAGGTACAATGTTCTATACATTTCAATAAATGCATCTGCTTTTTTATACCATGTGTCCCTAACAGAGCTTATTTTATTGCTAAAATCACTAATCAATAATGAAAATAATACAACAAATTTAATTATAGATTGTGTTTGTGAGCTCTGCACGGAAAACATCCGTCAGCACTCTCATCTGAACTAAACGGATTCAATTAGCAAACTAATCATTAGCTGTAGTCTGAGTCTTTAATTTAGTGCATGTGAATGCAATTGATTTTGTGGGTATGTTTGTGCACATGTGTAAACATGACACTGATGGAGATTCTATCACACACAACATTTAAGCATGTTTACAGAGTGCACAGAGACACAGAATAGATGCCATGCAGCACAGAAATCTGTCATGGAGCCAGAGGAATGCTGGGAGATTTTACCTTCATAGGAGAGATGTGTGAATGGGAAACATAGCTGTGTACATTCTCAATCTGGGAGATGCTCTTCTCCGACACCTGCACCAGCTCAGGAGGACGCACATCCCCTTGTAGGTGTGGAGAGCTGTGTTCTGGAGGCGACGTGGTATCCTCATCCTGATATCTGTATTTCTGAGAAGGAGAAAAAGAGAGAGAGAGAGCGAGAGAGAGAGAGAGAGAGAGAGAGAGAGAGAGAGAGAGAGAGAGAATGCGTACAGTTATAACAATAATATATTAAACACATTGCTTATAGCTACACTGGCCCAAACACGAATGTTTCATACACGATTTGATGTTGTACGCCCAGTGAGAGAGAGAGCTCTTCAAACCACAGTTAGATAAGGAAATGTTGAATATAGGATCATGTTTTAATGATTACACTGCAAAAAGAAAAAACAATAATAATAATAAATTATAAAGTTCTTTAAAAAAAAACAAAAGACACATACAACAAAAAAATCTAGATTTCCCTTTGAGTTACATTTTACCCAATTCGCAATTTTTTCAAATTACTACCAAACATCATGCATTTTTAAATGAAATGTTCTACAATCATAAAGTATTTTTGCTTTTAGATTTAAAAAAAAGATTTGCAGGTGAGGTGAGAAAAATAAAGTAGTGTTTCCTTTGCATTACATTTTTCTTACCTCACTGGCAAATAATTTTTTTTAATCTGATAAAAAATAATATTTAACACTGGTTAATTCTGAGCCTTGGGCATTCAAATTCAAACCGCAATGTATAATACTTATGATCTGAAGAAAAATAAAACAAGACCTCACAAAGTTTAAATACACGACAGATACAGAACTGTGAAACTATTTCAACTTCATTTCTCTCTAGACCACACTCCTGAGATGGGAAACACTTTTTAAATGAGCCAGGCACCCCCGGATCCTACCCGCTGCACAGTCGTCACAGTCGACCCCAATCTGCCATGATTGTATGTGAAATATTGTTCTGTAACTTTCTTAACGGGAAACGCAAATTATTCAGCAGTGCCTTTTATCCATAGACATCTATCTTGTCCAGGTGCCTTGTTGACCCTGATACATATGCCCACCTCTATGGCATTCCTGGGATATGGGTTAGGAAATGCAAACACAAGTCTAGAGGGAAGAAAAAGAGGGCAGGTTTCTTAGGGAAGGTAGATGCCCAAAAAAGTGGGACAAACTCCAAGCATGGGGGAAGACTGAATAGATTTGCCAACACGGAGATTCACAGTAGAATCCCATGCCCTATTTTAGCACAAAAAAAATTGGTCCATACAACTTATTTAAAATGACTTCAGACCTCTGTATCAAAAGCACATCACAAGCTGCTACTGATGCAATGGTCTGAAGTTAAGCATAAAGACACTGAAACAAATTACATGGAATTGTAAACTAAAAACAGTAAAAATAAAAAGTAATAATTATATATATATATATATATATATATATATACTGTAAAATACACACACACACAGACACACCCTATAAATGGTCTTATTTTTACGATTTAGTTTTAATCCAAATGATGCGCATGCTAAGTGAGTGAACATCAAAGATCACACAACAGAAGAGCGCACGCTCTCTCTCTCTCTCTCCCTCCCTACCGTTAAGTAACTTGTGAATTGTTTTACTTACTTGTTTTTGACATATCCGGCCGAACTACAAACTTTCCAGTGATGTCTGTGAGAAAGATGTATTCACTCGACAAGCTTGCGCATCTGCGCCGCCGCGCGCTCAATCCACTCAGCATGCTTTGTTTATCAGCTCGCGCACATCAGCTATACAGGCGTTAATACTGAATGTTTAACGTTATATTCATTGCATACATATACTTCGTAGTAGACATCCTTAACTCCATTCTGCTGTCTGTTGTTCTGTTGTCGGTGTTTCATTGTCTGAATACGGTCAGTGTGGTCACATGCTGTGTGGTATCGGCATTTGGTATCGGGGCATTTTAACGAGTACGAGTACGAGTACAGGAGCTCAGTATCGGTATCGGTGCATCCCTAATTTTTAGTAACCAAAACAAATGAAAAATAATATAATTAGTAATTAATTCATAGATTTTTTTAATGCCATATAAAGTTTGTTTCTAAAAAATAAAGTTGACCTTATTTTGTGGTGGGACCAATGTGAATAAATAAATAAACTGGAATGTTACACAAATACCAAACCAAACAACATATATAATAATATTTTTAATAATTAATTAATAGTTTTTCTGAGCCATATAAAGTTTTTTTTCCCCCTAAGAAATAATGTTAACCTTATTCTGTGGTGGGACCAGTAAAAATAATAAACTGAACTGTTATATAAATAGATAATAATATCTAGCTGGTTAAAAACAGTAAAAAGTCCAAAACAAAAATAAAAAAAACTCAAAAGTAATAGATATAACAATATTTTATTCATTAATAAATAGATTTTTTTCTATTTATTTCTAATTCATATAAAATTAGTTTTTTTTTTCTTTTAAATAAAAATTGACCTTATTTTCTGGTGGGACCAGTAAAAATAAAAAAACTGAACGATTGATTCAACCAGCCCAGCATGAAAAAAAATGATTGTTGAGCCCTGGCGTATATTAAACAGACAGAGGAGAAGTCTGCTTCTGCTACTACTACTGATACTTTGGTAAATGGGACGTCAAAATCCTAAGAAGTCTGCTGAGTCCTTTGCCTTGTTCCGAACAACTCAAAAGTTGAAACTGAACTCTCAGCTGGGCCACAAAGCCAGTAAAATTGAAAGGTGAGTTTGAACTCTGAGCCACTGCTGGGAGAGAAAGGGACAGACGGGGAGCAGTTCTGGAGATGTTATTACACCGCTGAGTGCTTCAGTGACTCGGCTTCAGGCGTGCAGCCGCTGCCACTGTGGGGCCAGCTTGCCTGGATAATGAGCTGCTCGACTGGCTCAACGCTCTCTCGCTCTGTGCTGGTCCGTCCAAACTGAGCTAACGTCAGTAAAACCTAACAAATGCAGAGGGATCACTCACACAGCCATTCAACCAAGGAGGACAGGTCTCGGAAAACTTGACAGCAGTGAAAAACGAATGCTAGACAGGATTTACACAGGCGATGTCCTCGACAATACAATGCCACTGCCCTAGCAGGGTGAACCTTGAGAATGAAATGCAGTTTGATGGATGCTGTATAGGACCTTAAAAAGTGGAAGAGGCCCTCGCCTGCTCCTCGTGCCCCTTCTGTCTCAGGTCTAACTGTGCGGCTGTAAAGCTGTCAGCTCTTGTCTGTTTATCTGGCAAAAAACATACCGAAGCCCAGAGCTCAGCAAACACAGCACTTTACTATAGATGCTTCACCTTGAATACCTTCAGGAGAGCTCCGTATCATGGCTGCACTTCCCACAGCTGCCAAAACAACCATATTCACTCCACAGGACTAAGCATCATTTGCATGATAAATGCGTAATCAGGGGATTATGAAGTCTGGCACATTCACCTCGGCTGAGCAGGTGTTGCTGAATATGTGAGGCCCTTCAAACAAAAGGCAAGCATTCTGTTTGACAAAAAAGGTGTCAATAATGAAATAAATTCTACAGTTTTAGAATAATAACAGTTTCAATTATAAACTGAGACACTGTTGTATTTACCAGACAGCACAGGCCCATTTGAAAGCATTTGACCTAATTATACCACTAGTGAGGTTTGCATTATATTTACCAGCTTTTCTGTGTCTGTGCGAGCATGTTTGTCAAATATAAAATGATATGTGGTGCACTACCATTCAAACGTTTGGGGTTGGTACGATTTATTTTAAATGGTTTTGAAACCATCTCTTAAACTCAGCAAGGCTGCAAAATTAATAAAAAATTCTGTAAAATCAGTAATATTGTGAAAAATTATTACAATTATTACATTATTACAAGATTAAGTACAATTTTATAAAAGATTCTTTAAATGTACTTGTGATAAAAAATTAAAAGTTTTTCTGGGTCACGTGTCGGATGATCCTTTATAAATCCTTCTAATATGCTGATTTGGTGCTCAAAAAACATTTCTTATTATTATCAATGTTTAAAATAGTTGTGTTGCTTATTTTCTGTGGAAATTTTAAGGAATTGTTTGATGAACACAAAGTTCAAAATAATAGCATGTATTTGAAACGTACTTGTAAAATATGACTTTTGATCAATGTGACCTTCAATTTCTATCAATATCAATTTCTTTGAAACAAACAAACACACAAAAAAAAAAATGACTGCCCCCAATTTTTTTTAAAGGTATTGTATTTTTTAATGTATTTCACTTCTCGTCCTGCTGGCAAATCAATTATAAAGGTGTAGATTAGAGGTCGACCGATGTATCGGTTTTGCCGATTAATCGGCTTGTGTATATATTTAAAGATGTGCATCTTTAAGCATGACAGTTGAAATGAAATGGTAACACTTTAAAATAAGAGTCCATTTGTAGCATCAAGATTAATTAAAGCTGTGTAAGTATTGTTCCTTGTTAGAGTGTGTTAATTTCAACATTTACTATTATTTTTTATTTTTTTACTACTACTACTAGTATGGTTCAGTACTGTTTTTGTTAATAAAGCACTATTTTAGTTTTTGTTCAGTATCAATTTTAAAACTATCGGTTAATTAATCGGTATCGGCCAGTGTGGTCCAGCCTAGCTATCGGTATCGGCAAAATCCACTATCGGTCGACCTCTAGTGTAGATCACTAAAATTAAAATTCTGTCATCAATTATTCACACTGATGCCATTCCAAAATGCTCTGCTCATCAAACAAAATTACTGTATTACTTCATATGACTTTGATTAAACCAATGGAGTTGTATGGATTACTATTAAACTACCTTTATGTCCTTTTTGGAACTTTTGTTTCAAACAAAAACAATAAAAACAGCGAAAACATTTTTCATGTACAATCATACAAGCATGAAATAGCATAGGGGTGAGTAAAGGATTACAGAATATTGTTTTTGGGGTGAATAATCCTTTTAATCTGAAAGTTTCTGAAACATTGATGCTGGTTTCTATATTGGTCCAAGCTGGTCAAAGCTGACAGACCATTTTAGACCAGCAACAAACTAGCTTTGATGTTCCAAAATAGCTTAAGCTATATTTTCCAGCAGGGCTGTTGTAAAATTAATTCAAAATAAAGTGCATATTTGA